TATAAGTCCTTTATCTGAGGGACAGTTAGCTAAAATTTTTCCCACTCTGTGGATTGTCTTTTCGCTCTGTTGGTGATTTCTTTTGATGTACAGAAGCTTTTCAGTAGGATGAGATCCCAGTTGTGGACTATTTGAAGTGTTTCCCGGGCACTTGGGTTTTGTTCATGAAATGTCTGCCTACCACTATGTCTTCAAGATTTCTATCTACTTTCTTTTCCAGTAGGAGTACTGTTTATGTTTTAATATTTAGATCTTTGATCCATTTTGACTTTAGTGTATGATGATAGAAATGGGTCTAGTTTTAGTCTTTGGCATGTAGATAGCCTGTAGAGAGCCAGTTTTCCCAGCACCATTTATTAAAGAGGGTATGTTTCTTCCAGTGAACATGTTTGGCTCATTTATCAAAGATAAGGTAGCCGAGTGTGTTTTTAGTTGTGTCTGCAGTGTCTAATGTGTTCCACCGGGCTGTTTGCAGGGCTGTTTTTGTGCCAGTACCATGGTGATATTATCTCAGTAGCTTTGTAGCATAATTTCAGGTCGGGGATTGTGATGCCTCCTGCCTTGCCTTTGTTGCCCAGGATTGCCTTTGCAATTCTGGGTCTCTTCAGCTTCCAGATGAATTTTAGGAATGTTTTCTCTAGTTCTGTGAGATATTTTAATGGTATTTTGATCAGGATTGCATTAAATCTCTACCACAATTTTGGAAGTATGGCCATTTTCACAATGTTAGTTCTTGCTATCCATGAGCAAGGGATATCTTTCCATTTTCTGATATCGTCTATAATCTCTTTTTTTCAGAGTACTGTAATTTTCAATGTATAGATCTTTTACTTCCTTTGTTAGATTGATCCTTAAATATTTCATTTTTTGGATATTATTGTGAAGGGTATGGTTTTCCTAAGTTCTCTCTCAATGAGTTTGTTGTGTGTGTACAAGAATGCTATTGATTTTTGAGTATTGACTTTGTATCCAACCATGAAACTGAATTTGACTATTAACTCTGGGAGTCTTTTGATGCAAATTTTTGGGTCCTCTATAGTACCTTGTCATTTGTGAATAGTGGTAGTTTAACTTCTTTCTTTCCTACCCTTATTCCTTTTATTTCTCCTTCTTGTCTAATTGTTCTGGCTATATTGAATTTCAGAACTATATTTAATAGGAATGGTGATAATGAACATCCTTGTCTTGTTCCTAAATTTAGAGTGAAACATTTTATTTTTTGTCCATCTAGTATGATATGGGCTGTTGGTTTGTCAGAGATGGCTTTTATCATGTTGAAATAAAGACCATCTACTCCCATTTTCTTTAGTTTTTTTTAATCATGAATGAGTGCTGGACTTTATCAAAAGCTTTTCCTGCATCTGTTGAGATGATATGTGATTTTTGTTTTTGGATCTGTTGATATGGTGCATTACATTTATTGATTTGTGTATATTGAACTATCTCTGCATTCCTGGGATGAATCCCACTTGCTCAAGTTGTATAATCTTCTTGATGATTTGTTGAATTGTTTGCTAGTGTCTTATTAAGGATTTTTGTATCTATGTTCATTAGAGACATTGGCCTGTAGTTCTCTTTTTCTAGTTGGGTCTGTCTCTGGTTTTGTTATTACAGTAATACTTGCCTCCTGGGATGAGTTAGGGAGTATTGCTTCCCTTTCAGTTTCATTAAAGAGATTGAAGAGTATTGGTATTAAATCTTCTCTAAATTTCTTCTAGAATTCAGCAGTGAATCCATCACACTCTGGGCTTTTCTCTATTGGTGAGTTTTTAATTGCATTTTCAATGTCATTAGCTGATATTTGGTTAATGAAAATTTTTATATCTTTTTGATTCAGCTTTGGTAATTCATATGTATTAAGAATCTGTCTATTTCTTCTGTGTTTTCCATCCTGTAAGAGTAAAGATTTTCAAAATAGGTATTGATGATCTGAATTTTCACAGGATCTGTAGTGATTTTACCCTTATCATTCTTCAGTGCATGAATTTGGGTCTTTTCTATTTTGATAAGGTTGTCTAGGGTTTTATCAATTTCATTTATTCTTTCACAGAATCAACTCTTTGATTCATTAATTCTTTGTATTATTTTCTTGGTCTCCATTGTGTTAATTTCTTCTTTGATCTTTATAATTTCTTCCCTTGTATGGGCTTTAGATTCTTCTTGCTCTTCTTTTTCTAGAAGCTTGAGGTGTAACATTAGGTTGTTTATTTGTGCTCATTCAGTTTTCCTGATGTGAGAATTCAGCACTATGAAGTACCCGCTTAGGACTGCTTTCATTGTATCCCATAAGTTCCAGTATGTTTCAGACCCTGCTGTCCCAGAGATCACAGGAAATTTTAACTTGAAATGAATTTCCCAAACTGTCATATCCAGAATATGGTTTACCCAAGGTATTCAGGTCATTTATGTCATTATAAGTTAGTTATAAGCAAGATCATTGTGAATCACCTATGTCATTGTGTCAAGTGCCGCCTGAGATAAAACTCAACCAAGGAATAACTTCATTATTTCCTCCAGGAATTCCTGAGACTCATTTGCAGAAGCCAACACTTACAGAATGGCTCACCAAATAGTCTATCCATCAAGCCGCACTTGGCCACTCAGCAATTTCAAAAGATTGGATCATGAAATTTACCACTCCCCATCTCTGAAAAATACCCTGAATCAGTGATGGTGAACCTTTTGGCATTTTTAATAATATAACAGCCTGCTGCAGGCATGTGTGTCATAGGTTCACTACCACTGCCCTAGATTATTTGAGCCCACACCCTATGGTCCTATAATTGTCTTTCTTCTCACTTGTTTCTCTGAGGCATGCATAAGGCTGTCAGGATGGATTTATTCCTGCTGCAGTGAGTTCTAATAAATTTTGCTTTGTGTTATTCTCAAGTTGTCCAGTGATATTTTATAGAACTTAACAGTACTAAATGGTCTAAGCCCCAAACCCTCTACTTTCTTCACTTTGCTATAATATTTGCTGGAACACTTTTGATTGGAGCCTAATCAAGATAATACTATACATATTATCTTTCCATTTGCTTTTGAAAACTGTTTAATGAATTTTAGGCATCTTTCACTGCTAGCTATTTTAAAACTATTTCACTTCCATCCCTCATAACTAGATGATATTTAACCACACTGACATGCACATTTCAAATTCATTTAACCAATTCCTTACAGATAGAAATCTAAGCTGTTGTCATTGTTTGGAGGTGACAAAAATATCACAATATCACCTAACTTTGTCCTCCATTTCAGTATATCTATAACTTTGATATCCAGAAGTACAATCCCAGGTTTATGTCCATTTTAAGTGAATTTTAAATTTGAGAAGATAGGTTGAATTTGTCCTCCAAATTGTCGATGCCAATTTAGTAGTGAAAAATGTGAATGTTTCCCTATATTCTGCCCAATACTTGACACATTTGAGGTACAGCAAGTGTTAACTGTTGCCATGTGGGAATTCATGCTAGATGGTAAAAAAAAAAATTGATGTTTTGAAAGAAGCTAAAATTCAGACACTTTAAAATCTCCTGATTTTCATAATGTTGTCAAGTAATTTCTTCTTAGTTAAAAAATCCAGTTTCAACATGCATGCAGGAATTTGCAGGTTCTTGAGCAGTAGATCTTAAATATCCCTTCTTTCTCTGATCTGTAAGAGATCACATCACCACCACAAGGAGAGTTAGGTATTCAAGCATACATGTTGGGCCAGGTATTTCCTTGAGAGATATATTTAGAATTACTCCAGGGTAGAATGTGTATTTCTAGGTTGAGCATGCTGAATGAACTTGGGAATTAATAGGTAGCTGAGTATTTCTAGAGTATTAATTCATATAGGATGGGAACTGCTAGAGCAAGAGGTGTGGGCATTCCTAAGCACTAAGATGGAAGAAGGGCTAATGAGTTTCCTCCAGTAGACCTTGTAAAATTAAGGCCTTATGTAGTCATCTTTCCATCACTATAACAAAATACCTGAGATAATTAAAATTAAAGATAAGAGAGAAAAAGGTTATTTTGGGTCACACAGAGGTCCTTCCAAAATCCCAACCCATACAGTTCATGAGAGATGTTGGTGGTGATTCATTATACATTGGAAGATAATAGGAATAGGGCCTCACTGAAGGCTGCCTTTGGGGCTGGCTGTGTGTGGGGTACAAAGCTGAATGAATCTCAAGGAGACTCTTAACAGAAGCCTGATGGGGCCTCCAGAGACTGCCAGTGAGGGCTGAAATGAAAGGGAGGAGAGTGCTAGTAGATGTTGAAGGGAGACCATTGTTGTGTAGTAACAAAAAGTTTAGCAACACTGTGACCTGGGGTAATGTGGACAGTAGGAAATATTCTTAATGAATTGAATGGTTTAGCTAAGGGGATTTCTAGACAGATGACACCTGGCCTCATTTCCAGTAGAAAAAAAAATAAGAGGAGAGAGCTAAATCAAAAACAAAACAAAACAAAACAAAAAAAAAACCTTCAGGTTTTGAGTAGATTTTGGAGAGATTATAAAGGGGCCAGAATAATTTTCCTAGCCAACAAAGTGATCTCAAAGAAACAAAAGTCCTCAGCAAAAAAATAAAATAAAATAAAATTTTAGATGGCTTCCAGGAAAATGTGGTCTTGCAATAAAAATGATCCCAGTGCTATGTAAAACCATTTGTGAGGACCCAGAAGTTTAGTGTGATTCCTTACAGATCTTCTCAGACAGATCGATATACTTTAAAGAATCTATGAACATGAAAATAGACCTAAGAGGGACTGGAGATTTAGCTCAGCAGCACAGAGCCTGCCTGGCAAGCATGAGATCGTGAGTTCAATTCCCGGTACCGGAAAAAAAAAAATAGACCTAAGAATTTAAAAGCAATTAATCCACTGTTATCTAAGATGAAGCCCTAAATGAGGAAAATATTTTCTAGAACAGGTTTTTTCAATCTAATTTCTATCTAATGAAATGTATTCTGTATTGATACATGAGAAACCCACGATGTTTTTCAAGGACTTGCATCATCTTGAAAAGAAGAGAGAGACAGGATGAAAAGAAAAGAAGGTTTTGGCTCTCCAACCTTTTGTGGGTAGGAGGCAGATTCTAAGCAGAAGCCTTTTCTTATGAAAATGAGAAGATAACTTAGTAGATCCAAGAGTCCAACAGGCACAGCACAGAGCAATGGAGAACTTTAAGAGGTAGGATTAAGTCCTAATAAATAACCATGTAAAATAATCCTTGTTGAAATTAGAACTAGTCAGAGTAGATGCCTCGGTTTTGCCCCGGTTTTGAATGAAGTGTCTACTGTGGCTATATGTCAGTCACATCATCACATGGTGGTGTTTAGGGAACAAGTGCTTTCTCTCTATAAGTTTTTTGCCTTAAAACAACACAAACTCCGGAGTATGTCATATTCTGTCCCCTGATCTATAAAGTATTCTATTTCCATTCTCATACCTTTTCTCTATATTGGTGAACTTTCTACTTACTGTAATCTGAGATAATCTCTCCATCTCAAGATCTTCAACTTAATCACATCTACAAAGCACCTCTTACCAAATAAGGTATCTTAGTTAGTGATTTTAAGGACTGGGATACTTATTGATGTTTGAATTTAGGGCAGTACCTAGGAATCCTCAACTGCACCTATTCCTCATATGTTTAATGTCATCCTGGAATCAAGAATGAGCCTGGTACCATGATGGGATGAAACATCTGAAGAACGGTCGGGGTTGGAAGTGTCCTGTGAAGAGGTGACTCTACTTTGCAAATTGGAGGAACAGAAATCATTTATGGTAAGAGGAAAAATATTGGTATAAAAATATATCCTCAAGTTCTTTCATACTCTTCCCCTGCAACTGTATAATGTTGGAACTGACACTATGTCACTTCTGGGGTTGGAGGGTAAAAACATGAAGCCTCAGTCACTATGTAAATGTAGTCAAGTGGCCCTGAGATCACAGCTGTGAGAAGCCTGAACTAGCTCACACAGAGAGATGGATACAGAGAGAGAGAAAAAGAGAGAAAGAGAGAGAGAGAGAGAGAGAGAGAGATTACTGGTTAGCTCTCAGCCGTCCCCTGATGCCTTCAATTTCCGCACATGCATCTATCAGAAACCACAAGACAGATCTGAAATCAGAATGGTCAGCTGAGCACTTACTGAATTCCCAACCCATAGAAACCAGAGGGTTCAACAATACAATTGTTGGTTAAGGTCACTAAATTTAGGAGTGATTTGGTACATAGCAACAGACATCTGGGATGCCTGCTTTATAAAATGACCTGAGAGTATTGCCCTAGCTAGAAGAGTGACACTGTAGTTGCAGAATCAAGCCAGAGCCTTCGTGATATGTACAGATTTTCTTCAACAAGAAAGAGAAGTGCTTCCTTTTGCTGTAAACAAGATGCTGTCAAGATTAGTTTTTGGAAACTCTGGGAGTTGGGCAGGCCTGGCCTGTGTTTCTGCAGGGTACATTCAGTGACTTTTCTGCTATCTAATGCCTTGAGGCCACACCTCCACATTTGACTTTCTCTGTCTGATTCACCTTTGACTCAAACATTTCCTCTTTTTGCTTAAGGCATGAGACATGCTTCAATGCAAACTTAAGATCTGCTGATCCTCAAACAAAAGAAAATCTAATAACACAAACAGGAGATGAGTTTCACTTCCAGAAACAGAAGGGTTAAGAAAATAGTTAATATGGAAAATTTGTAGTGGTTGATCAAAAATGTTGGCAAGAGATTATTATAAAGATTACAATGCAGATAATGTATTTTTCATATTTATTTGAATACTACATTAATTTTTTAATGTGAGTTTAGAACTTAGAAAAATTATGTTTGTAGTTATTTTGGTAATGGGACTATGGGTAAGTTTTCTTTTCATCTTTTGCTTATCTCTATATTTTTATGTCTCACAATTAAACTTATATTAATTATTTGAGAGAAACACATTATACCTTGGAATTAATGTGAAACTACTAAATAATATGCCAAGAGTATAGGTATAAAAGGAAAAGATTGATAAACTATTGTATAAAACTAAGAACTTCTGTTTATCAAAACCTAAACTGAAAATTGAAGCCACAAATGGACAGAAATATACAAATAACAAGGAACAATTATCCAAAATGTGCAGAGTGATGACAAATCAATAATGAAAAGACAAAAAAAAATCCAACATGAACAGATATTTCATTAAAGAGAAAAATCAGCTGCCAGTAAGTATGTGAAAAGGCACCTCAGACAAATCCAAATTAAGATTCCTATGAGATACTATTTTGCATAAACTGAACTGAAAGAAGTTAAAGAAATGGTATACAAGATATTAATAGTAGCTATACATGTTCTCATCATGCTAGTGGTAATAGAATTGGCTCAACTACCTGGGAAAACAGGTTGACATTCAGTAACTTTGGCAATGTGTATTTGTTATATGCAGAATATTTTTTGTTTTGCCTTTCTAGGTCCATTCACTACTCTCTTCAATGCTGTGTGTACTGAGACTGACCTATAGAGAGGCCATAAATAATTGCCTTTTTGCGTTGACTGGGTTTGGCCTTTTCCAGGAGCAGTTCTAAACACAGAAGGAGATAAGGGCAGGGCATTCATTTTCCTGCCCTCCCATGTACACCTCAATAACGTGGTTTGGTGGGCTGTGTTCTACTGAATGTCATCTTTTCTATCCAGCAGCCCTTTCAGGTCTCATGTCATGTCCTGGGAACTTTTCCTCTTCTGTTCCCTCCAGGTCTAAGGGAGAGAACTTCTTGTGCTCCTTCTACCATTAACCCTGGGAAGCTTCTCTATCCCATGCTGGTTTCCCTCAACTCTCCACACTGAACTGCCTCCATTGCCTTTCTGAGTGCATTATCCCTCACCACGGCAACCTGATTGAAATAATATGGAACCTACAAATTCCACTTGAAGCAGCATTGTCTGGTGGAAATCTACAGAAGCCACAAATATGAGCGCATATAGTTTGAAATGTTCCAGTAGCCGCACTTTTAAAAGTAAAATGAAACTGGAAAACTAACTTTAGCAACTTTAATCTGTTTTATCCAAGACAACATTTTTAACCTGCAATTCATGTGAAATTATTGAGATATTTTACATCTTTTTCTTTCTGGTAAATTTTCAGAATTAGGTATGTATTTCATAATCACAGCTCACCTCAAAAGCATAGTAGCCACACATGACTAGTATTTACCCTATTGGATTACACTAGTAGAGGAAGACAGCCTACTTATCCCAAAATGATGCTTATACACAAGCATCAAGGCACATATGAATTTTAAAAAGTAAAGATGGTTTTTAAAACTCAAAACAAACAAAAAGATCCAAAATAGTTCTTATACACTTCTCCAAATCAAATATTTCTTGTATACAGTAGTCTTTCTTTATCCATAGAGGATATGTTCTAAGACTTTCAGTGGATGCCTGAAGCCATAGATAGAATTAAATCCTGTGTATACTATGTGTTTTCCTATATATGCATATGAATCTATTTTGAAGTTTAATTTATAAATCAAAAATAGTAAGAGATTAACAATAACTAATAATATAATAAAACAATTATAACAATTTTCTATAATAAAAAGTTATACAGTGTAGTTCCATAGTTCCCCCTGCCCCCAAAATACTGTACTATAGTCACTCTTGTTGCGGTGATATGAGATTATACAATGCCTCTAGGGTGAGCTGAGCTGAGGTAAGTAACATAGGTATTGTGATGCAGAGTCAGGCTACTACATAAAGATTGCTTGAACTCAAGCACTGTCATACCAAGACTGTTGATTTAACAATCTAGCTGGCTACTAAGTAACTAACGGGCAGGTAGTATATACAGCATGGATATGTTGGACAAAAGGATGATTCATTTCTCAGGTAGGGTACTGTAAGACTTCATCCTACTACTCAAAATGGTGTCCCATGTAAAATTAATGAATTGTTAATTTCTGGAATTTTTCATTATATATTTTCAGACTATGGTTAACTATAACTGAAACTGGAAAATGTGCTCCTAAGTAAGAGGGATGAAGACCACTGTGTAATGAAATTTTAAGCAACATTTAAGTGAAAGTTTTAGGGGAAGTACAGCAGTTATAAAGAGTTGGTTGGCAGTGGGCACTTTCTTTTTGGTCTTCTTTTCTTTCTTGCTCTTTCTTATAGTTTTTCTATTCTGTCACTTGTACTATCATGTGCACATCTTCCCTTATCTCCTACGGCTGCATTACTCCTTCCAAATAATGATAAGTCTCTATCCTCTGGCACTTTCTATGCAGTGCAAATTCTGCTTTTCATAGTACAATGCTGGTATTTTTCCTGATCTGAGAGACAGAAGGTGAGAGAAAGAAGTTTGGTCTCAGTGGACAATGAACTCTGGCCTTTTCCTTCCATGAATTTTCATTTTCAAAATTGTACTTTGTATGTGTCTCTAACATATGTCATGACCTCCATTTTTCTCAAACTTAAGGAAGCAAGTCACCTCATATTATGCAAGCTAGTGAATTTCCTTTTTGAGAGTTCAAAGGATCCTTGTAGGGTAAAGAAAAGTGAAGATTTAAAAAAGAACAACAAAAAGAACCAATTTCATAGAGAAAAATTCAGCTCCTAACACTTCATTTCGGGTTACAATTATACCCACAGGGAATGATAATTGAAGAGATATTAATGTGCAAAGTGCTGTCTAAATAATTATGGCTAGGAATGGTATTCAATTATAATTTTTAAAGAAGGAAAACATTTAAAAAACTGGTCAGGTTAAAAGGGTGCTAATTCCAGAAGACAAGCATTTTAAAGTGTTGATGAGAAAGTTGTCACATTAAAGGCTAATTTCTTTTAGGCACAAATCAATAGACAATCTGCAGGTTAAACTGAGAGTATTTTGTAAACTGTAAAAAATCATGTTTCTGTAAAAGATTACTTATCAGGTGGGAAATGGGAAGTTATAAGGAGACAAATTCTATCTCCTTTTATCCCAATCCATCCATCTTTTCCTTCCTACTATCATTCCTCTGAGGAAGAAAAGGGGACTCATTTGGTCAAATACCAAGACCTGTGTATGACTATACTTGGCTGACGGAGGAATCAAAGTCACCAAGTGTCAGAGCAGCCTTTTTTTACATATTGATTCTCCCTTTCAAACTAACCTGAGCAAGGATTTCCTCTTGAGGCTAAGTTAGCTGGTATCTCTCTAGTGAGGCACAGGTAGGTAAGAAAGTAAGTATCAAGTCCCAGCTTCTCCTCTTCCCTGAGCACTCCCTCTAACCCACTTCCCCTACTTGCAGGGATGACTTATTGTAAGAGTCTTAGTCCCTTTCCTCATTGCTGGGACAAAATAACTGACACTTGCAACTTAAGGAAAGAGTGGTTTACTTTGGCTTATGTTTCAGTCCATTGTCAGCTGGTTCCAAGGCAGAAGCTGTATGGAAGAAGAGCTTATTGTAGAAAAATTCTGCTTAAGTCAGGCTGCATAGAGAGAAGGGAAGAGCTCAGAATGGAGATATATCATTCCGGGTCACATCTCCAGTGATTTTCCTCTTCCAATCAGAACCCAGCTCTTAATAGCAAGCCAGCTATAGTACCCCCGTGGTCCAATAACCTTCCACAAGACCCACCTATGAAACCATGAGGCTTTGAGGGGATAGTCTTGATCCAAACCATAGCACCTTGTCCCTGGCCCCCAAAGGCTCATGTTCATGTCGTTATGCAAAAGAATTTTGTCAAAATTTTAACAATTTCAGCACTGTCAGAAAGACCAAGTCCAAAGTTTCCCCTGACATTCAAGAGATTCAAA